AACAACAATAAAACTGTGGCATTAGCGGGGCGAAATCCCCCGTGAAATCACCAGCACAGCCCCACGTCCCTCTCTAAAATCTCAATGTTTCAAACAATTTTATCATTTGCTGGTAAATTATATTGTACCAGCGCGAGGAAAGGAAAAGAATTTTCTGAATGTATTTCCTTTAATAAGCTATTAAGACCTTGTACTGCTAATTAAACTATTAATTAGGGGTATTATCATTCCTAAACACGTTAGCATGTTGCCAAAGCAGCAATAAGCCTCTGGGGCAGGCAGGAGATAAGGAAAGAAGGAAGATGCAAACATGAAGATTAAAAAAAATATGAAGAAAATAAATAAAAAGAACCAGAAATAGCAAATAAATAACTAAGAGTCAGAAAGGTGACGTATTCTTAATTTATAGGAATAAAAAGCAACTTGGGAACCAATTTCCTATGTGCCCTTGGGGCATCTGTGTCTTACACAGGACAAAAAGAGACAGGACATTTCAGACCTTTGTTTTTCTGCAGTCAGAGCAGTAGAACCAGAAATGGAACCCATCTTCCCCAACACCAGAAGTTGCCATTAGAAAATGAACAGAAAAACTATTCAAAAATGGTGGCGTTTTCCTTCTCCAGAAGAAAAACACAACAAATTTTCACCAGGAAGATTTAACTCCAAGGAATTTCTGCATCTGACTCCACGCTGACCCACAAACAGCACCCCTGGCTCATCCATCCTCACCTTTTTTAAGCTGAAAAAGAAAATTTCCAGCCTCACAGCACTTGGGATGCTCTTTGCACGCTGTGAAGGTGTTTCCTCCTGCCCTGTGGCTCCTTCAGGAATGAGGAGGAGTCTGGGGACAGCTCTGCACCACCCCGAGGTGCTGCTCCCACAGCCTGGGACTTTGGGACCTCAGTCCTGGCCCCCATCCCAGGGTTGGCCGCACGTTAAAATGTTTTCAGACCCCAATTCCTCAGCATTTGCCTCCCACAGTCGATCTCAAGGGATGGATAATCTCATTTACGTCTGTTACTACAAATCAAAACCAGCAGCAAATTAAATGGATCTGAAGGCCAAGATTAAAGGCTCCAAACACACGGGAAGTGCCTGTGATGCAAAGAGCTGTAAATAGAATTTGTTTTTTTTTTAAAGAGGATGATTGAAAAGCCCTACAGAGATGCTGCTCTTTTACCTGGAAAGCAAAGACAGGATTATGGAAGTTTTAAGGCTGGAAAAGACCTCTAAGATAAAGTCCAGCACTGATCCAGCACTGCCAGGTCCACCACCATGGTTGGAAAAGCAGGAAAAAAATCAAGATGAGCTTGATCATCACCCATTTCCAGCTGTGGGAAAAGCCTTTGTGGCCAGCTGATGGTGGCTGAGGTTTGGGCTGGCTCAAAGCTGCTGCTCCGAGGGGCTGTGTTGCTGTCAAGGCGGGACGGGGATGAAGAAGATTCAGCATGTTGTGAGAGTAAAAACTCCGTTTATTCAAAATACACTGCTCTTTTATACAGAGCTCCGCAAGGGCCAAATCCATTGGTTCTGGAGTGAAAACAACTTACACCATTGGTGCAGAGTGCTTGACGCACAATGATAGAACTTAACGATAAACAAAGTGAAAAACAAGAGAGATAAAGAATTATTTACATTCTTTCCCAGCTCTTTCGCAGGCTTTTTGCCTGGGTAGAAACTCTCGTTTCTCTCTTGGACTGAATCTGAGTCCCACATGGCTGAGCCCAGCTGGTTCCCCGGCTGGGATTCCAGAGAAGTCCTGGCCCCACCGGTGCTTCTCCAGCTTCTTCTGCATCAGCCCCTGAGGTGGGGCCCAGGATGTCACCAGAGCCCTCCCGAATTCCCTGGTCAGACCAAAAATCCCGCGTGGCCTTGCAGGGGATGGAGCAGCAAAACTGAGGGAGCTCCCACAGAGAAAAAGAACTGCGGGATGTGACACCGAGCAAGCAGATGGGAAAGGGATGGAAGGAACCCCCGCTGGAAAGGCCACGGGATGCTCCCCGTTGCTGGAATTCGAGCTCCAAGCCCCGCTGTTGGCATCGTCCTCCCGGAATTCCGTGCGCCGAGCCCGGGGCTGGATCGCAGCGCCCAGGACGCGGTTTTTGGGAGCAGCAGCCGCCGGAGCGGAGCGCGGCCGGCAGAGCGCAGCACCGCGGCGCGGATGCGGCGATCCCGAGCGCCTCTCCTCGCTCCCACCTCCCGCCAGCGACGGCAAACACAACAATTCTGCTTTTCCCCATCGCAGGAGCCGCTCTTGGCCTGGAAGTGCCGGTGCTCTCACCTGCTTTGACTGGGGGAGGATGAAGCGTCCAACCGAGGGGTGCGGCTGAGAGAAATGAATTAAAATTTGTTTTCCGGCAAGAACTTGGCTTCAGCAATGCACCTTCAACTCGCGGTAGAATTTTGAGGTAGTTCAGACAGGAAGGTGCCCCCTCACTTCTGGGAAAAATCTTTGAAGGATCTGGGGGCTGCTTGGGCAGGATGGAGAATGGACACAGACATGGCATCCAGTGGAAGTGCTGCATTTCTATT